AAGGAAGCAAGGAAGCAAGGAAGCAAGGAAGCAAGCAAGCAAGGAAGCAAGGAAGCAAGGAAGCAAGCAAGCAAGGAAGCATGGAAGCAAGGAAGCAAGGCAGCAAGGCAGCAAGCAAGGAAGCAGGAAGCAAGGAAGCAAGGAAGGAAGCAAGCAAGCAAGCAAGGTCCCTTTTAAACAAGAGAAAGCAACAAAACAATATATGTGTGTTTTACATTCTCCAAATACGTGCAATCGAAACATGCTGAAGCTTCACCAGAATTCACAGATGTCCAGTTTGCCCCTCGTGCTCTGCGATCCTCTGGCTTTTGTGTCCCTGGACCTTTTGCAGCTCCAACATGTAAGGACGTTCCAGGTGGATCTTGTCCTCCCAACTTGTGACCTGCAAAAAGCAAAGAGCGGCGACGAGTTTCGGTGAGTGGAGTCTGTGAAGAAGATCCGCTGCAAACACTCATCCGCCCAAGTCTTGCGTAAACACTCATGTCTTTTGGAAGTCAAGTTTTGCGTCCTCGGTTCATTGTTGACTCTATCTTCATCCCTCGCATGTGTCTTGAGGCTTTTCATCTTATTATCTCACTGACATTCAAGAATGCCCAGTGACCCTCAAGGTGCTTCCTTGGGCTCTTCGCGCGCACGCGGCACAGGTCCAGCTGGCGCTGCTCCACTCGCCGCAACGCGGCATCCACGGTGTCTTCGTGGCGCACCGAGGCAGCGCAGCCCATGGTAAAACGTGGCGTAACCCTCCAGAGATGTTTGATGTCCAGAGTCCCATCTGAGCCACAAACAGCGGTCTTTGAGAGCCAAAAACAGAACGACAAAAAACCTTACTTTTTGCTGAGCATCCACCGCAAGATTTTCATATGTCTCCAACGATCCCTCTACTCATTTTCCCATCTCCGTCGCCACTGACGCCAACATTCACATTCTCAACCCTTCCGACATTTCTTTCTGCACCTATTTTTCTCTTCTGCCCCGACTGTTTACCACCTGTTCCTTTTGGTCCCCACTCCCGCTCTTCGCCGCTCATCTTCACCCTTCCTCCTCATTGGGGCTGCACTCGCCGCTCGGGCCGAGTTCCGCGAAGATGTCGACCAAGTTCAACGACTCCGAGGACTGCCGTGTCAGCGCAGAGCTCCGTGGGCTCCGGGGCGCTCCAAGCTCCGCGGTGGAACGCGGGGTGCAGGCCGTGCGCCTTGGAGATGGGGGTGACATGGCGGTCCGTGGAGGCCACAGAAAGGGCGTAGTGATGACGAGAGGAGGACTACGAGGCAACGGCACGCCTTTGCCAGGCGCCGTCAAAAGCGTGAACCTTTTCAATGTGCCACGTGAGTAAGCCAACACGGCAATACGTCGGCATAGCACGTGTCATGTGCTCACATATGTGCAGGCACAACAACGCCACTACAAGCAAGCCAGCAAAACTGTTCCAGAACGCCAGCAAGTCAGCGCGACAGCGTGACCGACAATATGTCAGCACGTTCGCATGTTGGCGTTACCGACGCGCGTGGCAACACCTCCGCGTCAGAGACACCGCATATCTGCAAAATGCTCCGGATTTTCCACCATCACCTCCTCCAGAAGCTCCAGAACCTCCTCTGCAACCTCCTCCAGAACCTGCTCCAGTTGCTCCGGAACCTCCTCCGGAACTTGCTCTGGAACCTGCTCCCGAACCTGCTCCGGGACCTGCTCCGATCTGCTCCAAAGTCTTTACTATGGCTAAAAACCCCTAAGCTTCGCTGTTGAGGAAAAATGAAGGAAAAAGATGGGAAGAAAATGCTAGAACAGAACATATGCTGCTGAATCTTTTTTCTTCAGAACACAGTGGTTTGCATCACTGATTTGCCTGTCTAACGAAGCCCTCCTTCCCTGTAGCCAACTCTTGTCTGAAAGTCATCATACCAGGAAGTCGGCAGGAGAAAAGGCCTTCGTTTCGGTTTCACCCAGTAGGTCTGAACAAACCCTATCCATGTTGGATGATGTGAATTTGGATGCGGTCCCAAGCCTCCTAAGGCCTCAGTCTAGATTCCTAGATGCTGCCAATCGGCTGGGTGAGTTGTGGCTGTGTGGAGTGATCCCAAACGCTGTGCACAGCATCTCGGCTCACCTCCTCCTGGAGTCCTGCAGCCACCAAGATGTTTACAGGAAGCACACTTCTTCAAAAGCGAGCTGCAAAGAAACTCCTTGTTGCAGCAAGTATGTCATTGTCTTCCCTCTTTTTGATAACATTTCATAACTGGCAGACTGGAAGTCTTGAGGAAAAAAGATCCACACAAACATCCCCATGCATGGATTTGGCATGTTCCAACATCCCGCCCAGCCAGTCGAGCCCTCCTTTGTCCACGTAGCTCTCAGTGCAATAACCTCAGGTGCCAAACTTCACAGCTTAAACGACCTCTGCGAAACGAAACCTCTATGTAACTGTCCGGCCAAAAACCACGGATTTTCCCTCCGATTCGGAGCGTTGGCTGCGGACTCAGGCTTTGGACGACCCTTCAAAAGAGGTGACTAGCGATGGCCTCCAACCTAATAGCGATGAAGCGTTGTGCAGAGCCCAAGGTCTGCAGAGTTTGTGTCCAAGCAGCACCATTGTGTGCCGCAGGCCATCTGACTATGTGCCTACAGCGGACTCACCCTGAGAATTGAGTTGTCCATCAATCAACTGCACCACTCGAATCCCAAACGAAGCAAAAGGTCATCGAGCTGAACAAAAACAAAGGCAACCTGTGTTACAACCGCCGGATATAAATGGTAAAAATGCAGAGTTTAAGGAGGGTGTTTCCTTTCCCATAATAGCTGAAAGCCAATTCCACAACATGACTGAATGGACTCAATCGCTTGGTCACACTTGGTCTCTTTGGCTGCTTTTCACGTGCCTCTTGAGCCAGCTCGGACGGGCACGGGCCATTGCACCGGACTGAAGAAATTCCTTTCGCTTTGGGACGCTGTTCGGACATGTTCATCACTGACTTCGACCGAAACTTCGCTGTTGGACTTTCGGAAGTCAAACATGGCCTCAACGTGTTAAGTTTGCTCTTTGTTCGGGTTCTCAAAAGAGTATCTGGCCCTTCATCAAGCCAATTTCAGTGTCTGTGTGACCCTCTGAGCCTTCAAGTCTGCGGGCTCAGCACAGCAGAGCGCATCAATTGACCATTTGTCACGACTCATGAAGTGCAATTTCTTCGCCAGCTGCGCCACGCTGCGCAACACATTTCCCGCAAAAACCGTCGTCACCCGGTCCAACAAACTGAACACTTGGATGCGTCCCGAGGTTGGTTTTAGGCCGTCCAAAGCGTTTAGCGGGGAGAGTCCAGTCGGACGCACCGGCTCTTCGACCGGACCAAACCACTTGGAAGCTGCGCTTGGGCATGCGGATTGCCAAAGGCGCCCCTGCATGGAGACTTGGCAAGAAACGGACAAATCTTCAATGAAAACATCGTTTAAAAAAGGAGTAAACACATCCCCCCGGCCTGTACTCTGTGAAATGCTGGCACTCCAACTAGGTGCATGAAGTGAGCAGGTTTTACAGGCTTGTGAACCTGACAGAACAAGCTGCATTCTGTGTTCTCGGAATCCTAAAACACCCAAAACCCAACTAAAGTTCATGAGGTGTGCTATCGCATTGAATCTGTTTGGTTGTCAAAAAGACCCTCGAGTGCTGAATCATTCACGAAGGCAGTTTCGCTAAAAAGGCTGCAAACCAACAGGCTTCGCAAGGGAGAAAACTAGTCTGCTCAGAGTAGGCTGCAAACAGCAAAGGTGCTCGACAAACAGGCTAGATTGTCCTCTGAATTGGTTGTGAGAGCGTTTGCTCTCGAATTGTGCTCGCATGTACTCGTCTCGATTTGAGAGTATTGTAGTTGTTACTTTGTTTAAGATATTAAAGGTGAATCGCCACATCACTGGCGCACATCTATGATTTCGCATCTGCTTGCTCCAAGAGTTTGAAACAGGCAGGTTGCTCAACCAGGCAGCGTCTGGGCCAGATCACACCTTTTTCGTCGCTCAGCGCGGCTTCCGCCGGCCCTTCACAACTGAGGTGAAACCATCCTCGTCCACAACGGGCTCAGGGATGTCCCGCTTGGCATAACCACCCACAGTGGGCCTTGGGTGATTCCGGAGCTTTTATGGAGCTTGGATTTGGTGAGATCATGTGTTCCACTCCGGCGCGCATGTCAAACTTGCTAATCCTATTTTCTAGTAACAAGTGCCACGCTTCTAGTAACAGGTGCCTTACTAGTAGTAACAAGAAGCCATTAGAAACAAGTGCATCGCTACTAGTAACAAGTGCCTTACTACTAGTACAAAGTTCGTCAAATCTGCTCGGTCTTGTGACCCAAGTTCCCCAAACTGTGCAGCTGTGGGCTGCTCGACAAGATCCTGCAAGGCCTGCAACCCACGGGCACAGTGCCGTACCGGCTGGGTGCAGGAACCGAATCCATGCAAAGCCACCACTTCTGACGCTTGAAGAAAACGACAGGAAGGCACCATAAGGCACAATCCAACGCGGCCTTGTCATCCGACTCCACATCGCTCCCCTGCCCCACTTGGCACTGGACTTGGAAAACTTGGAAACCCGGAAAAGGAAAACCCGAGGTGTAGTCAGTCTTGCGACGACAAGAGCATCACCGTCCGACAGGATTTGACAAATGTCCATTTGGGGAATAGTCTGTTGGAGCCGTTCAGCAAGTCGTTTCAGCACGTCGTTGGGTGCGAGAGCCTCATCAATCTCCATCCCATCCAACTTGTCGAGAAGCTCATCCTCCTCCGTGGCGTACTCGATGCCTCGAGAGGGTCTCCCAGGTCCAAGTGAGTATCTCAGGCTGGCAAGATATGGCGCGTTGCTCGATATGTCAGGAAACATTCCGAATGTCGCAGAAGTCACAAGACTGCTACTGTGATCCTCCGTCCCATCCCCAAGCTTCCCGGCGCTCAGAGCCCTGACTCTTGGCCAGGTCTGGCTTGGAGGTGGAGTTGCAGGCCTTGCAAAAGGACCAGGGTTCGCTTCGCCCTGGCTAAGCCCTCCAAAGGACATCTCGGATCGCCGCCCACGACAGCGCACCGCCCACGCGCCTGAAGAACTTGGTCAGCAAAGCTTGTGTCGCCCTGATGGCAAGTATTGAAAAGCCGCAGGCCTGGCTGCACGAAAACACGATCAGGTCATGGTGGATGAAACCTCTCAATCTTCTAGCTTGCTTCTCAATACCAGTAGACAATACCAGTAGACAATACCTGGCGCAATCTGTGGCCACTTCCAAGGCGCAAAGTGTGGCCACTTCCGTCGTGGAGCCGTCATCCGTCTCGGTGTTGAAGAGCTCATCGATGCGAAGGTAGAGGAAGTGAGCAAGCTCCTGAGCCGATCAATCTGGCACCACTTCGGTTTGTATGCATCGTAGGTCACCGGATGTTTTTTGTTTAGCTCTGTGTTTACTACGTTTTTCAACTGATCCATTTGGAATTTGGAAGCACAGAATCCCTTGCCTCCACGTCTCCAGGATTCTCCCAGCTGATGGGCCGTCGCTTCCTGCAACAAGAGGCCAGCTAGCTGGCGCCTTTGGCACTTGATGTTCTACACTGCAGCTTGTGGCTGCACAATCGTGCCTTGAAGAAAGAGTCGTGTTGCTCGGAGCGTTCGAAAGGTTGGACCATACATTTGGTAACGCAAGCTTCTGCACAGTTCCGTGATGACCAGCTCTGTGAGTTTTGTTGATTAGTCTACCATGTTTTTCCAGGAGAAGTCCGAGAACTGTCCACATCTGCACTGTGTGCGATCGTCTGCTTTCGCTCATCTTTGCAAACGATCGTGGAGTCATTTCTGCTCATCTTTCGTGTCCTGGAACCAGCACTGAGATAGTCAACCACCTCAGCTTGTAGCCGTCTTCCCTTCGCGAGGGAGTCTCGGCCACCCCAACCTGTGCACGGCTCCGACAGCGTGCACATGCCGAGATGTTTGGTTCTGCAGCATGGGTGCATTACAAGTTTGGATGTTCACGGCAGAGATCGCTCTGGCCAAGTCCCGGCCTTGTTCTGTTGCAAGAGCTAAGGTGGTCCATCTCTGAAAGATCTGCTGGATGGCCTGGCCATGATGCCATGGCCTTTCAAGATCCATTCAGTTTGTTATCATTCCGTTTAGCAAAAATGACCTTGTATTTTCCAAGCTGAAGGAGAGTTGCTGTTCGGATGTCTAGATGTTTACAGAAAGAACTGCAGAAACCTGTTTCCGTGGCTTAGCCAAACCAAGGGAACATGACAAGTCTTTGAAGAGCTTCGAAGCTTCTAGACTGCTGTGGACATGGTTCCATGGCGCAAAAAGACTTTGAAGCAACGAGATATTGCAAATAATGCGAGCCGCATCAAAAAGGCCACATGCCCAATGTGGCCTTCACTCCTCACGCTACTTCCCCTGCCTCGTTGAATTTCTGTTCCATCTTCCTGTGCAAGCCAATCACCATGGCAAGCAACGTGAAAAAGGTAGGAACACGACAAGCCGAGAGAATTTCCGGAAGAGCTTCTCAAAACCAAAAAGAACATCGAATGATTTGTTTAAAGCGTTGAAATCCAATGAATGTCTAATTTCTGTCTTTGCATTGGACTCGGACTTGCCTTGCGTCGTTTGGCCGCTGCTTGGCCTACTGAAACGCCTGGCGGGCCCACAACATGCTGGCTCCCTCAACGCCCTCAACGCTGCACGTTTGGGTCATTTGAAATGCCCGCTTTGGCCGTTTGGGTGAAAAACTGTTTTCAAATCTCTGGAAAAGTGATTTGCCCACTGCAAAACTTTCAAAAACCTCTATTTAGAGTCGCTTGCTTGGCAGTGGTTCACCAACATTCAGATTGCCAATTCAACCGGGTGTCAAGGGAGGAATGAACATCAATGGCTGCAAGATTGAAGTGAATTTCCACGTCCTACTGGTTTTTGTCGTCTTGGGCAGGAAGGCTTACGGTCACCTCAACCCCGGCCTATGTTTCAAAGAGGTTGTAATACTTGTAATACTGACACTGAACATGCAGTAAATGCACTTTCGAGATATGTGTACAGTAAGGAAAAGGGGAATGCCATCAAAGAACGAACAATATGATGCTCTCGGGCGAAAGTCATGCAAACCATAAACTAGCTTTGAACGTACACAAATCCGACAACTAGGTATTGGGCACATGTCCAATTCCCATCCTCATCTTTGGGGCCCCGACCAAACTCATAAGGGATGCACATGCAGTTCTTGAAGCGCATGCGTCTTGAACCCCTTGAGACTGGCTTCGCAAGTGACCTTTCCCAAATTCAAAAAAATGGTCACTATGCTGCTATGTTCCACCTGAGCAGTGTGAAGGGCCAACGCAATCAACCGTTCACCTCTATAAAAATATGATCTCCACAATATTTCCAGCCGTCAAGTGGGGCTGCAACCAGCAACGCAACAGCAACATGCTTTGGGTGAAACCCTCAATCTTTGAGTTTGACATCGCACCAAAGAACACCAAGGTCTGACACCCACAACGCGGTCGCCCGTAAATGCGCAAAATTAAAACAGGAGATTAGGCGGAGGAACACTCAATCGCACCAACAAGGCAAGAGAGGATGGAAAAAACTTGAGAAGGCTGAAATAAAAGGACAATGCTCCCCACTAAACATTCATGCGAAAGCGGTCCTTTTCTCGAACCTGAATGCGACCTGCGGTACACAGTTGTGAGACATGAGTCTGTTTCAAACTCTTTGGTACTCCTCCTTTGGTGGCGAAGTTAAAGCTGCTCTTCTCTCTTCTCGCTTGGTCTACTTCAATCAATGACAAAAATCACCACCTTTTCCAATTCTTCGTAAAGTTTTTGCAGTTTCACTCTGTCATCAACTCTTCAAGTTTCAAGTTTCAACAACTCTTCTCTTGCCTGCAATGATGCTCTAGCTCTCAAATATGTCCATCTTCTCATCAACATCTATTGGTCCATCTGTTGCTTCGTCTTGTTCACTTGCTCTCATTGCTGCGGCATCGTCATGAGTTGACCTGTCTGGTCCTTCAATCTCCATCTCTGGTTCTTCTGGTGGTTCGATAGGTGGAGGAGCTGTGAGTTGCCTCTCATCCATCGTTCCCGGTACCAATTCTGAACTCAAGTATTCTACTGGAATTTCAACTTCTCTTCCATCATCCAGTGAAACTGTGGCCGTCATGCCACTCAAATTGAGTATGGTCCACGGATGGGTCGCACGACGTGACGCTGACGTGACGGTGACGCTGACGTGACGTGACCTGGGCGGATACTTTCGTTGACTCCCACTCACTGACGTGACAGTGACGCTGACGGGGACGTGACACTGCCGGGCAAATGCATGACATGACACGTGGGCGACGGTGACGTGACAGTGACGGTGACGTGACGTGGTTGGCAGACATGCATGGTGTATAGTGATAGTGGTAGTAGTAGTAGTAGTAGTAGTAGTAGTCGTCGTCGTCGTCGTAGTAGTAGTAGTAGTGGTAGTGGTAGTGGTAGTAGTAGAAGAAGTAGTAGTAGTAGTAGGGGTAGTAGTAGTAGTAGTAATAGTAGTAGTAGTAGTAGTGGTAGTAGTAGTAGTCGTCGTCGTCGTCGTAGTAATAGTAGCAGTAGTAGTAGTAGTTGTAGTTGTAGTTGTAGTAGGAGTAGGAGTAGTAGTAGTAGTAGTAGTGCTAGGAGTAGCACTAGCACTAGCACTAGCACTAGTGGTAGTAGTAGTAGTTGTTGTTGTTGTTGTAGTAGCTACTACCACTACTACAACTACAACTACAACTGCAACTACTTCTCCTACTACAACTACTTCTGCTACTACTACTACTGCTACTACTACTACTACTATGACTACTACCACTACTGCTGTTGCTACTACTACTGCTACTTCTACCACTAGTACGTACTAGTGGTAGAAGTAGCAGTAGTAGTAGTAGTAGTAGTAGTTGTTGTTGTTGTTGTAGTGGTGGTAGTAGTAGTTGTAGTTGTAGTTGTAGTTGTGGTAGTAGTACTTTTTTTTGCACGAGTGGAGACGCCATGTGTGTGGTGTGCACAGGTCATCTTTTGCTAAGGTTTGAAACTCCGCGTACTCAAGAAGCGAAGAAAGGAGAAAACAGCAAAACAAACAACAAACCAAAACACCAAACCAGCAACAAGACCAAAAAAACGCGAGCGAGAACATCGGAGTTTCATCTCTGTACATCTGAAGTGAAACAAGGTGAAACGGGAACTACGGCTGTTTGCTACCTGGGCCACGAGTTCTAATTCAAGCTGCTATTGCGGGTGTTCGATTCATATGCGAAGAGGCTTTGCACGATCGGCCTGTGTGTGGACAGGCCAAACAAGCACTTGCTGGCGCAAGTGCTCTAGCTATCTTGCAGCTTACTGATATTGAGCAGAGCCTGTGAAGTTCCATAGGAGTGCAGCAAGTCAGAAGTTCGATGATCAAAGAGCAATGAAGGTCTGGCCATGGAAAACAGCAGTAACCTGGTCACGATTGTTCCAAGCAATTGCGAAGGCAGGGAAAGCTGTGGCCTGCTGCGGGCATATGGAAGTCATTGCTTTCAGGCGCGCCTTCCGGCGCCTGGCGCAGCTCCCTCGAGCAGAGGGAGCAGGTGTTGCACATCTCAAGCAAGCTCCTAACAGCTAAGCCTATAGGAGCACAGCAAATGTGCAATGCGCTATCCTGGCTGGATAACAATTCGATTCATTAACTGACTCGCCTCCATCATGCAAGGCCCTAGTGAAACATAGTGAAACATGGGAAGGCTAGTGTGGTGCCGTTTGCCCACTTGGTACAAGGTTGGCAGGGTACGGACCCACATCCAGGCCAAGAACTAAGGTTCTCACCTGGGTTCCAACCACCTGTCTATTCTACCGGCGCGGGCAGACACAGGTCGAGAACTAAGGTTCTCGCCTGCGAAACACCAGAACCCCAAACGACCTCACAAGGCCCGAACCCAACAGCACCGCAAGCGTCAAGCGACCTTTTGCGCGACACACAACCAACGCAAGGTACTTTACAGCGTGTACATTTTCTGCATGTCTATCTTCTTTAAACTCCATTGCTCCATCCTCTTGAAGGTGAGCCGAAAACAAGTGTGGTTCGTCCGAAAACGACGTTCGAACGATTCCCGCAAGGCGAACGAACCTAAAGTGGATTCCATTGGACCCAAAAGTCACCCTAGTGACGTCCAACCCTTCTAATTCCATAAAGATCACTAAGATCTCTTCTGCGCCACCACTCTAGCACCCACCAGGAAAGCAAACGAGGAAACACGATTTGTGTTTCCCCGCGTCAGACACCACACTTTTCAGCACGATGATCCCCGAAGAGATCCTAGGACACACCTCGTGGGCACCCCCAGTGTGGCTTATGTCATCACTTGGGAGGAAACCCAAAAGAGGGTAAACCAAAAGCAACCAGACACATAACCTCCCAGGGTATGCGATACGAGTGTGTGTGTGGTATGTAAACAATATCCACAGGATGGATGTCGTGGGCATCCATCAAGCATTCACCAAATTCTCCAACACGTAGATGCTCCAAAGAGCGTCGAGAGTGCCTCCAACATACACAGCTGCTCCGAGGAGCATGCAAAAGTTCTTCAAACACTATCGTCCAGAGACGATACCATGCATATGGTCATCTAGTCACGGCACCGTCCGAAGCGGTCGAAGCGAACGTTCTCGACAACAACTGCGTCCTCAACAACAAACACTCACCCCGACTTCTAAGGGAATACTCTTTGGTCAACTGTCTCACTAGTTCAAACCCATTCCCCAAATAGGTGGTAGCGTTTCCAAAAACGTCCCCCGCCGACGTACCCGGAATGATGTCCAACCCTTCCATGAAACCACTAATCATCATCGAAATCCTAGCATGGTTCGAAAATGCCAGCTTCAAAAACGAACACAAACGAATCGCACGAGTCTGTTGGTCCTTAGATAGCGTCCTCCACACTATCGGACTAGGCCACATCGACGCCTGTTCTATCTCTCTTCCAAACTGAATGGAACCCAAAGAACACCAGTTCACCAAGGAGGTCAAATACCCAGTCCAACCAATCACCTCTTCTTCCCTAGAATGCCACCGTTCCACATTCGGGGTAGGTGGATTACCAAGCCGCTTCTCACTCTTGCTGAAAACGTCTCGATCGTCCGACGACGAATGAGCCACGTGCTGACGCATGCCACTTGGAAGAGGTAAAGTGTTCCGCCTATCATCTGGTACAAACGCACGGCCGTTCTCAACCGGTGTTTCCCCCAAACGATCAGGCACAAAATGCCCTCTATTTTGAAGCAAATTTCCAACACTTTGAAAAACAGACTGCAACTGTAATGCGTTCATGCTCTGCAACAACGTGCGTGTGTGCATCACAGGATCTACCGTACCATGTTGGCTCGGAGCCATAGGAGCTTGTTGTTGATGCATCTGTGCGAATGGACCTAAGTT